TGGTGGTACAATACAACAACGCTGGCTTAGATGCCTATGTTACGTAATCGTGTCCTTGTAATCCGCGCCGACTTTACCGTTAAGCAAGTTAATTTACCGTTATTCTAGTAAAGTCACTTAACTTAAGTGACTTAATTCATTTATCTAGCTATAATTGAGTGGTTCAAGTGGAACTTTTAACTAGTTAAGTGGATGTATATCTAGATAAAATTTCGACGTGAACCATGCTAAGGAATTGTTATTTAGAAGGAGTCACAACACATTTATCTACTTATCTACAGCCAATGAGCGAAGCGCGGTGTACTGAATCTTCAAAGAGAACCGTGACTAACTGCCTGTCTTTTGTCAATAGGGTACTTTTCCGACGATCTTGCGCCCTCAGTTGTTAAAATTTTGTCTTTGTAGAGAAAATAATTTCGTGACGAACGACCAGTAGAGCATGCGCAGGGTTTTTTATTCAATTTTCGCTGTTCAATAAATTTGCATCTCAAGAGAGTTTTACGAAGAATAATTTACAAAAAACCGCATAAAAATTCGCCTTTTCGTTAAAACCGACTATTTGAAGTGGAGCTATATGTGTTTGTTCGTACACCGTCATTTGTAATTTTCATGGGTTTTTCAGGAAGTGGTTAACAAATTGTTTATTTAATGTTATTTTTTATAGTTCATTCTATTAAACAATGTATGTACAAATAACTTTGAAAGGCAATTACTCAAAATCATGTTTATCTTGAGTCTAACCCCGGTATTCTTAAAACGAACTTCAGTCGTAGTTCGAGCTAAAACTTAAAAATTACGTCATTTCATATTCTTAAAACGAACTTCGACTTGCACTACGACTAAATGACGCAAACCTCGCCTAAGATTATGCCTCCGCAGGCCGATTTTTTTAGTCAGCCTAGTGTCAGGCTAAATCGCCGACTTGAAATATTTACCCCAATGAAAACGTGCTTTTTGTAACTTACGATAAAGTTAAATGAATAAAAACGATTGTATAAGTAGGTCTCATGTATCTCCACTGTGTTCAAGAAAAGGGACATTACGTTTGGCTTTCAAAATGCGAAATTAGCATGTTTTGCTAGCCACATGCAACAGTTCCTGATTTACACGAAATCCTCTCGCATTGCGGTCACGTAGATTTACCGTAACAACCACAAAGATGGCGCCGCCCTCGCTCGACCTCAACTATAATAGTTCTCTAAAGAAAGCAAATTTTTAGTGACAGTTCAAATTCTCTATCGTTTTATGTTAACGACTAATATAGTTAATAGTATATAATTAGTTCATTTCATTGTACATGCTTACAAGAAGCGAACATTTTATTTGACACACTAATGTTTATGTTTTAAGGCTGTTGGCCTATATACAGAATAAAGTCTCCCTCTGGGGAGAATTGAAATTGAAATTGAAATTGAAATTGAAATTGAAATTGAATAATTAGTTAGGTGAATAATGGGCAATTATGAATTATGAGGAAATATGTTTTTGAAAGACAGACGGCAGTTTAATATTCCTCCGCGTTACCGGATCTCTAAAATTTCGTCTGCTATTAAAATTAGCTCTTTTTATTGGTTA